TTATTGTGACTGTTCATCAAAAAAAATTCTGTGTCAACCTTCAAGCTAAAGATTCAGGAATATGGCTGGCTTTGATTAGTGAGAACTCTGATGTGGTCTATGAACCTAGAGAGGGGTTCCTCAGAGTGAGTGTTTTCCCTCCAACCCCAGACATGAGCTGACACAGCCCTGCCACTTCCTGTCTGGGGTGGTAATTTTCTGGCTTGGTTCCTACAGCAGGTGGGTATCTCAGGCAGACCCTTGGGTTTTTGTATGACTGCTTCCAACAGTTCTCTCACCGTGGCTCTCAGAGCACAGAAATACACGGCTGAGTCCCCCAGCTGTGAGTCTGAGATGACAAGCTGGATGTATTTGCTTGCCTTCTGGAAATTCACTGAGTAACGGCCTTCTGCGGCATTCTTCTGGCTGTAAGAGTTCTGAAGGATGAGGAAGACCATCTCCCCACTGCTGGGCTGCTTGTACCAGAGGAGATTGTAGTTTGCAAAACTGGTGTCATAGGAGCAGAGCAGGGTCACAGCCTCCTTCTCCTGTACCCGCATGGCAGGCTGGGCCTGAGTCACCTTCTGGGAAAAACTGGATCCTGAAGGGAAAAGGACAGAATCAGAAAGTTTAGGAATAAGTGGTGGGGAACAAAAAAGTTCATTTTTGCTCCCTGCTAACCCTCCCTCCCAAAGTCCCTGTAAGACTACCATATCCCCCAGTCTCTAGGTCACAGATGAGGCCCCTTCCCGCAAGGACCATCCCTACTCAGCCACATGGACGCCATGACCAGCTTCAGTAGCCTGGGCAGCACCATGATGGTGTTCTTTTTCTGGATGCAAAGTATCTTTTTCTTCTTTGACTTCAGGGCTCTGCACTGGGAGGGGACCCCGACAGGGTGAGGGAGGAACTACTGGGCTATGAGCTGCTGCACCACCAGAACAGGAAACAGAGGCTTCCTTTTATAGCAAGTTGACATGTGTCATGTCAAACTTCTGTATCCTGGCTGACAGTCCCTCCAACCCAGACCCACTTCTGAATTAACAACTCTTAATTGGATAACCATTAATTGTGACAACAAACTCGGACATATTGGAAGAAAATTATTCAACCAACTGCTGCTACACTCAGTCATTGCATCTGTGATGGCACTGGGAGGAGGCACTTAAAACACTGTCGTGATGGAGGAAGGGTGGGAGGAGGAAAGGGAACGCCCATCTCCAGGAGCCCTTAGAGACGAGTCCCCAGCAGCAGATTCATTTTACCACTAAAAACCTGGGACCACACAAGGTCTTACTGCTTTTGTGACAGTGTTGCCCTGGCTGAGTGTTTCCTCTGCTCTGCTCCTCTCCTCTGAAGATGCCCTCCTTGATCCTATCCCTGTGATAAAGGCCCAAGGCCCACAGATTTTAGGGAAGAATAACCACTGAAGATGTCCATCAAAACAGAGAGCAAATAACATGGCCCAGGTAAGAGAACTGTGCAGCAGCTGAGACCAGAAACCTGCATTGAAAGGATAAATGTCTCAAAGGCCTTAGCAGACCTCAAGTCCTATTGTGAGGAGCACAGCCAGGAGTTACCCTTTGATGACAGGAATACTGACTTCAGAAAACACTTTCAAGGATAAAAAAAAAAAATAAAACAAAACAACAACAACAATGAAATGCATCATCTTATAGTGGAGGAGTGGAACAGTTCTTCCCCTCTTCTCAGCAAAGCAAATCCTGAGCAGCTCCTTGAAGAGATTTGCCTCCAGCTTATTTGGTAACTATTGCTATAACTAAAATGATCTTCTCTGGGAATAGTGGACTTTGAAGTCTTTCTTTTTCAAGTTGCCCATTCTTTAAAATACCCTTTACTGACTTAATACAGGATAACAATCTTGGTTTCCAGTTGGTAACTATGGTAAGTTAACCTGGGCCTTCTTAAAAACAAACAATATATTTCAAATATACAGTTGATTCAGATGTGTCAAGGCCTAAATTGCCTAAGCACTTGTAAAATTAAATGCCAAGAATAACTTCAGTCCTGAAACCTTTATATCATATTATAGTATTAATAAATTTCGTGCTGACCTGTATACTATACAAGGAAAAGGGGTGTGTTTTGCAAATGTGTATCTTCATATATATACATATGAAAGCTTATTTCCTCATCAAAACTCCATTTTCTATGTAACATCAGTTCCTAAACTCCAGAAGTTGTATTTATCTTGAGCTGTTTAGGTAGAAAACAATCCTTCTTTTCATTTTTATTGTGCAAAAAATAATGAATGAATATCCTAAAGATTAAAGGAAAAAAATGCTGTATGATGGAGATACATGAGGTGCAACATTCATGTATCCTGACACCTATGTGTATTGTTGCTTATTCTAAGGCAGAAATCAATCACTTTATCAATAGAAGTCAGAGTTATTTGGACTAGT